CACAGTGCCTGATAGATGTTTAATGTTCAAAATATGTTTAAATATGAATGCCAGCCAGGAAGAGGAGGAAGAGGGCAAAAAGGAGTAATATCTTTGACTTCTCACTGTTCTGCTTCCTCCATCAACCCCTGTCCCCCCCCGGCTTTGCTCTTGGTTTGCTGTAGCCGCTGAGAGGCAGGCTCTGGAGCCAGACAGCCTGGGTACAAAATCAGCCTCACTGTCTGCCACTTATCAGCTCTTTTACTCCCCAAGACTTGGATTTTGATCTGTAAGAGAAAGACCATAATATTATCCTTTTCATAGGTGAACTGGGCAGATTCAATGAGTTCTTACAGGTAAAAGACCTGCGGTGTTTTGCACAGAGGGCTTGTTATTTTCTTTGATGGTGCTTACCAACGGTGCTACAAAAATGAGAGAAGAAGCCTGAAGACGGACGAGATTAAGGACACTGGACCATTTGTCCTCAGGATAGCAGATCAACTGTAGGCAGGATCTTTAGGAAACTGTGCCTATCACTTCCTATCAACTCCTGAAAACTGTCCAAGTTTTTACGTGCTAAATATGATTGATCTGATAGTGACTTGCATGAGCGAAACAAATCATGGCATTTGACTCTTCAAGTGATATGTTCTTGTACTTTGAACTAAAGGAAGTCCAAAAAAGTGAAAAATAAGCAAAAACCAAATAACAGCATTGACATTATTTGGTTGGTAAAAGTAAATACCTAAGGAAACAGCCTCATTCCTTAGAGAATATTCCATATTCCATATTATATTTATATTATATTATATTTATATTATATTTATAAATATAAATATATAAATTTATATATTATATTATATTCCATAAATATTCCATATTTATTCCATAAATACATAACACATGTTTTATGTATTTGTTTACTTTTGGCTGTGCTGGGTCTTCCTTGCTGCTTGCAGGCTCTCTCTAGTTGCGGTGAGCAGGGGCGGCTGTCTAGTTGCAGTACGTGGACCTCTCATTGTGACGGCTCCTTTGTCGAGGGGCAGGGGTTCTAGGGTATATGGGCTGAGCAGTTGTGTGCACGGGCTTCGTTGTCTCACAGCATGTGGGATCATCCCAGGCCAGGGATCAAACCTGTGTCCCCTGCATTGGCTGGGGGATTCTTAACCACTGGACCGCCAGGGAAGCCCCGAGAATAACAAATTTCGAAAGTTCAGAGCAGAGATCATAGGCGTTGGGATATTAACTTCCTTCTGAATGATATTTGAGCAAAGACTTGAAGGGGTGAAGAAATGAGGCTTGTGGAAATCCAGAGAAGAGTATTCGAGGAAAATGAAAGGGCCAACATGGAGACCTCAGATGGAGCCATGCCCGGCATGGTGGAGCAGGCGAAAGGAGGACACTCTGGAGAAGCCAGGAGGCAAGTGATAAAAAATGAGGAAAAGACAGGTGGGGGAGACATGCTTCCTGACTCCTGCTTCTGCCTGTCTCCTATCCTTCAGCAGAAACATTGGGCCTGAAAGGAAAGCAAACTTTAATTCTGCCTCTTTTAGGTTTTCAGCTGGGACTCCCTTCTTTTTTTTTTTTTTTGCTTATACAATGTTACATGACAAATTTATTCAGTCAAAAAGTCAACTAGGACTCTAGCCAAAAGATTAATAAAAGAAAAACAGTTTATTAATGTATACATAGCACACCACTAGTGGGGAACTTAAATGAAGAGGAACTCAAAATGGTGTCTTAAAATTCCAGCTTCTGCCGCATCTTCAACAAAGAATGATATACCTGTGGAAACAGGACAGGACAAAGGAGAGCAGTTCTAAGCTTCCAAAGGTGGCAATCTGTGGGGAAGTAAATGCCCGGGAGGAAACTAATGGAGCAAGTTTCCTTTGCAGATTCTTCTAGTGTTTTCTTTCGGCTGGTAAGAGTCTGTCTCCAGTAAAAGTAAAAGAAGAATTTATATGCCAGCTTCCTTGGTTGCTCAGAGGGTAAAGAATCCGCCTGTAATGCAGGAGACCTGGGTTCAATCCTGGGTTGGGGAGATCCCCTGGAGGAGGGCACGGCTACCCATTCCAGTATTCTCGCCTGGAGAATTCCACGGACAAGGGATCCTGGTGGGCTACAGTCAGGGGTCACAGAGTTGGACGTGACTGAGCAATAGCATAGCATAGCATTTAGGCAGAAAAGGGGGATCAGGACAGCTTTTACTGCATTTGCTGCTTCTCAATTGCCTTCAGCTCAAAATAGTTTTCATGTCAAAGAGACATTTCTGGGGGTGATATATTCTGGTTTCCTTCAGATTCCAGGAAAAAAAAAATTTTTCAAGGTTTTTTTTTTTCCGGCGGCTTAGGGGTTGGGGTTTTCCGTTCCCTTGATTTGGGCAGGAATTCCCAACTTTTGCCGTTTTGCCTTTTTGCCCTTTCTTTTCTTGCCCCTTGTTGGGCTTCCCTTCGGGGATTTTCTTGGCCGGGGCGTTTTCCTTTCTTGGCTTGGCCCGTTCCCTGAGCAATTGTGCTCGGGCACTTGAAGCCAGGATGCAGGCAGCTAAGAGGATCTACTCAGGAGTAGAACCAACCTACATGGAATAAAGCCAGGTCAACCAGAGAGGCAGAGGACAATGCGGCAGGACCTGGAGATGGAGGAAGAACCAGAGGAAGGAGGAATGAGTGCTAGGGTGAGGTCCTGGAGGCAGAACTGATCCCAGGCGAAAGCTTGAGGAGTGGCAATACAAGGCCTTCTAGGAAGATGGGCATCTCAGTCATTATATTTCATCACCACCAGGGACAGATCAAAAGACAGTATCTTCTCACTGCTGTTACTTCCTCTCCAGTTTAGGAGTGATGTGGGAGATGATCACATATGTTTTTACAGTCTGGATCACAACTGTTTTGAGACTTTAGCACGCATCAAAATCCATCACATCAAAGATCCAAAATGTGGATTTCTGGGCTCCACTTTCTACCACCTGCTCTTACAGCAACTATTCCAAAGAATCCCAATGGAGATATTACTGCACTGAAAGTTATGGCCAATGACAATGGTGCATGTATCAATGTTCAGTTTTGTCTCTCTTCTTATTATTTTAGAAACTCAGCCAGCCAACGAGTCTCTGAAACCTCAACGAGTCCATTTTCAATCCCGAAATTTTCACAACATTTTGCACTGGAAGCCTGGGCAGGCTTGTCTTGGGAACAACAGTGTCTATTTTGTGCAGTATAAAATGTAAGTAACCTGAGTCTCCTCCAGCTAGCAGATAGCTGCTGAGATTCCATGTCCTAGAATGCGATGGCGTGTCAGGGTCTGAGCTTTTGTCAGTTTCAGAAGGGTTGAGAAGAAGCAGAGATGGGGGCAAGAAAGTGTCTCCCCTGAAGGTGACACAAAATGCCTGATGATGTGCAGTCTGTGGAGGGAGATACTTCATCCCTGGGAGACCCCACTGAGGCCTCACAGGCTCAGCCTTCAGCTTCACAATAGACTCTTACTGCACATTTGTCCACCGAGTGCTATAAGAGATTTGTTTAGCATATAATAAGTACTCAATCTCAATTAAACTGATGCTATTGATAGTTGAAAAAGAAGTTGTGGGACACATGCAAGTGGGTGTGTAAAGTATATTTTCAATTAAAAGTCTTTTTAAATTTAGAGTGAGTTTGCTATTTAGGAAAGTCCTTTTAAAACTGAATGCCTCCTGTGAGCATGGACGCAAACTGGAACACACCACGGCCTGTTCCTCCTGCATGCTCTTCAGGCTAATTCTGATGGATCAGTGCAAAAACTCAGATATAATCTACTCCTTTCCAGGATCGAGGCCTGGAAAGTTTCTTCGGATCTAGAACCTGAAGTTTCTGATTTGCAGATGGCAGATTTTCCCCTTCGCACATCTTACTCTGGGCAGGGTGGGGCGGTGGAGTACAAGGTGGGAGTTGATGCTCTTGCTTCTCTTTCATAGATTGAGATGCTAGTTGAACATGAGGCAGGCAATATTACTGTTAAGCTTTTATGGTTTTCTATTAGAAATCCAGAAGATCAGATGCAGCTATGGACCAAAATGGCAGTTTTTGTGCCATAAATTCATTCCTGTCTCTCTAGCATGGGATAGATTCAGGTCAAATTTTTCCATTAATCAGTCTCTCTAACTTCAGAAGGATTATCTCCAAAAGTCTCTCAGGCTTGGTGGCTTTTTTCAACATGTTTTGTGGAGCAGTTGTAAACTTTATGAATCTTTATGATAAAAATTTCTCCACTTCTAAAATAGACTTGTGCATCTATTTTGGAAATGCTCCTTGCATATAGGAAGTGGGGATTGATGATCTTTTTATTCTTCCCCTTTAGGCAGTGTAAACATGTTCAAAATGAGCCTATTTGTGGTTCAATATGAACAGTGGATTAAGAGTTGTTTTACCATGAAATTAATGAAGATTAGACTTTAGGGCCCAATGGAAGAATTTCATAGTTCTAATTCTTTTTCTTAAATAAAGCTCCCAGACTTGTATAAAATTCAGAATATCTGGATCCCTTCCTACCCATGTGGTATTTTCAGTAGCACAGTGCAGATTTATATTTTTGAAATTTTTTGCTTTGGGTCTATCCAGTTCTCATGGATATACTATTAGTATCTATCCCCTTTGGAACAGGACAAAAAATAAGGTATTACACCAAAAAAAGAAGCCAGTCATTACAGATAAATTTAGCTAGCAAAGACAATGTCTCATCAATAAATAAGAGTTAGAAAACATTAAATTGTGTTCAATATATGTTATTGGTTCTGCCCATATGGTATCTTTTGATATAATGAAACTATTGTCAACATATAGTTTGCAGAGTACAAATACCATCAATGTTCCTCTTTATATGACTATAGAATTATATTTCAAGTCCTTCAACAAATACTTTGGGGGCTTTTCTCCCCAGCATCTAATCCCTCCTCTGCTCGCACCGTCACCTTATTGCGTTTTCTCTGATCTGTGACTGGTAGTCTTCCCCTTTGCTGTTACACCATCCCAGAGTGTTAGGCTGAATCACTGTATCTGGCTCTTTGACTCATTATCTTCTCTTCTTGGGTTCTCCTTCTTCCCTCCCAGCCTCTAATTGCAAAACTCCTTAGCTAACCCTCACTACCACCCCTGCTCAGTTGTCAAAAAAGAGATTGACCGTAGGTGTTGGGTAAACATCACCTGAGATGAAAAGTGGTAGTGACTTCTCAGAACCAGCCGCGTTACTCAACAGCAGGCTGATGAGAAGTGAGGAAAACCACAAAGCGTTGAAACCTCAGGAGCCTGAAGGACGTAGTCAAAAATGGAAGTTGGTTAGACACCAGCAGAAAAGCTTCCCTAGGTACTAAGAATCCAAAAACCCTTATGCTAGGGATACAGAGGGTTATCAGGCTTGAATTGATCTTTCAACAAGATAGCACTTTGATTAACGAAAAGAAAAAAAATTTTAAAGAGACTTAAGAGCAACTGTCAACCTTCACAGGGGGCTGATATTGGAGGACAAATGCCAACCAGTCTGAAAACCGAATAGACTGGAAAAAAAAAAAAACCTGAAGACCCCTCCAGTGGAATAAAGGAACTCGGATTTTTGTCTTTTTCTGTCTCTAGGTATGGAGAGAGACAGTGGAAAAATAAAGAGAACTGCTGGGGGATTCAAGAGTTCTTCTGTGACCTTACCAATGAAACGTCAGATATATGGGAACCTTATTATGGGAGAGTGAGGACAACTCTGGCTGGGATCCACTCAGGCTGGACCATGACACAGCGGTTCACTCCATGGTGGGAAAGTGAGTTCTATTGCATTTCTTTGTATTTGCTTTCTCTGACCTTGAATAGCCCTCATGGAGCCTGGCTAGCTAGCTACCAGGCCCTGGGCTTTGCTGAGGTGCACACCATCATCTCATTTGATCTCATTCTCAGAACAACTCTAGCAGATGGGTTTTACTGTTCTCATTTACAGTCCAGAAAATCAAGGGACAGAGTCTTTGGAAGTAGCCCAGGCCTCACAGCCTGTATAAGCCAAGTTGGGATTCAAAATGGACTGCATCTGATTACAGAGCTGACACTCCATCCTACTGCCAAGATGTTGCCGCCTAGAAAAAAAAGTATTTCTATATAGCAGAAAGGATTCATATTGCCCTTCCTAAGCATGAGGGTTACATTCTTGAAAATACACATTAGGCAATTTTTCTATTGAGAAAATTAAGGCTTTTAGTTACCTCTCCAAAACAGGAGATCCAAAATGCTCTCTTGTATCCAGTTCTCAATAACGTTTATTCTCCTTCTAATTTAGTCATAATCTCAGCATAATGTATTATAACTTATGATGAAAATTATTTAAAAAAACTAACAGACCTCATATAAAATAGTAGACAAAATGTATGAGAAAAATGTGTCTAAAGTATATGTACCAAGATATGCATAACAAAACAAGAACGAAAATATGGATATTATAGTCCTCACAATGCAACTAGTCATGAAGCTGCAGTTAGTATTTACATCTTTTCCTCTCATGATTAACTCAACATTTGCTTTCTTTTCAGCCAGCACCTTAGCCTTTCATTTTTCAGGAGTTTGTGTCCTTTTGCTCTTTCTTCTATTAGTTTAACATAGCCTACATTAATTTTTATCTCTGAATATAGGAGTTATATCAGAGGTGCCTCTTAGAATACCTAGCATATTTGACCCCAAAGTATATATATAACAACTCTATTTCACTTTGATAATTGGAACCAGTCACCCTAGACAACACAAAGACCTCTTTTCCTCCTTGTTGGTTAAATGGCGTAAAAATCTCCCAACCGTCAAGAGGCAGCCTTAACTTCCAATTCTTCGAAACCATTGTTGTTATAACCCAGAAGAATGAAAGGATCAAGTGTGTGGGAAACAAACCATTTGATGAATCATTCACTGTGTTCAAAAGTGAGAATTGCCCCTCCATCTTTCACTTCCTATATCCTAGACCAGTGAATTCTGTTCATGGAAGAAATAGCACCATTTATTGGTCATATTTCATATGAATAGAGTCACATAATATATGATCTTTAGTGACTGACTTTTTTCATTTAGCATTTCACGTTTTCAAGATTCATTAATGTTGTAATATATATTAGCGCTTCATTCCTTCTTGCTGCTGAAAACATTGCAGTGCCTGAATACACTGCATTTTTTTTATACTTTCCTCAGTTGATGCATATTTGAGTTATTTCCACCTTTATGCTACTATGAATAGAGTTCCTGCGAACACTCATATACAAGTTTTTGGGTTGACATGTTTTACTTCTCTTAGGTATATACCTAGAAGTGGAATCACTTGGTCACCTTATAACTTTGTGTTTAATCATTTGAGAAAATGCTGCATTGTTTTCCAAAGCAGATGCACCATTTTCCATTCACATCAGCAGAGTGTGAGGGTTCCTGTTTCTCCACATCCTCAGCACCACTCTCTGACTCTTTGATTATAGCAGTCCTAGTGGATATGAAGTGGTCTCTCATGTGATTTTGATTTGCATTTCCCTGATGACTAGTGATATTGAGCATCTTTTCATGTGTTTATTGGCCTTTGGCATATCTTCCTTGGAGCACTGTCTATTCAGATCCTTTGCTCATTTTGAAATTGAATGCTTTGTTTTTAATCACTGAGTTTGAAGGTTTTTTATGTATTATGGACAACAGTATCTTATCAGATATGTGATTTTCAAGTATGTTCTCCCATTATGTGTTTTCTCTTTGAGTTTTCTAGATGGTGTCATTTGAAGCCCCGAGTGTTTAACTCTGATGAAGTCCAGTCCACTTATTTTTCTCTTGTTGCTCATGCTTTTGGCAGTATCTCAGAATCCTTTGCCAAATCTAAGGCTATGAAGACTTATCCTAAGTTTTCTTCTAAGAGTTTTATAGTTTAGCTCTTACATTTAAATCTTTGATCCATTTTGTGTTCACACAGTCGTATTCTGAGTCCCCAAGGATTACCAAGTTATGACCAACTTAGACAGCATGTTAAAAAGCAGAGACATTACTTTGCCAACAAAGGTCCTTCTAGTCAAGGCTATGGTTTTTCCAGTAGTCATGTATAGATGTGAGAGTTGGACTATAAAGAAAGCTGAGTGCCAAAGAATTGATGCTTTTGAACTGTGGTGTTGGAGAAGACTCTTGAGAGCCCCTTGGACTGCAAGGAGGTCAAACCAGTCAATCCTAAAGAAAGGGAGGATAAATCTTAAAAGGAAACTGAAAAGAAACAGTCAAAGACGTAGGAGGAAATCAGGGGACTGCTTTATTTGTGAGTATCTCAAAGAGAGAGAAGTCAATGAACACAACAGAGCTATGAGGTCAAGTAACCTTAAATTGGCCATTGTAACGCAATCGCAGTCCAGTGAAAGGGCTGATAATGGTCTCTGAGTCATAAAGTCCTCCATCATAGATCACAGATCAGGAGCCCTTATGAAGTCTGTAAGTAAGGTTCACTGGTATTCCTAGGCCAGTGCTTGAAATCATGTGCTTCATCTGTATGTAGGATCAAATAACACATTAAACAACCAGAATCTAAAATAATGAGTCGATACATTCCAAGGACGAGGCCTATATGCACATGATTAAGGAAAATTCTTCAACAGTCATAACTTGGGCCAGAAAGAACGAATATTACTAGGAGAAAATCAGTTATGCATATCGTGCTATGCTGTGCTTAGCTGCTCGGTCGTGTCCGCCTCTTTGTGACCACATGGACTGTAGCCCCCCAGGTTCCTCTGCCATGGGGATTCTCTAGGCAAGAATACTGGAGTGGTTGCCATGCCCTCCTCCAGGGGATCTTCCCAAAGTAGGGATCAATCCCAGATCTCCCACACTGCAGGCAGATTCTTTACCATCTGAGCCACCAGGGAAGCCCATGAATATTAGAGTGGATAGTCTATCCCTTCTCCAGGGGATCTTCCCAACCAAGGAATCGAACAAGGGTCTCCTGCATTGCAGGCGTATTCTTTACCAGCTGGGCTACCAGGAAGCCCTATACATATACTGGCCTACAAAATTGACTCATGCTTCTCACCTTTCTTTTTTTTTTTTTGCTTTTCACCTTTCAAGTGATAGGCAGGAGGTCCATGGTCACCAGAATTTGGAGTATGAAAACCATAAACAATTAAATATCAACCACTTTGCATGATTAAAATGTAAACAAACAAGAATTCCTTCTTCAAGCAATTGGGCAAAGTTTCCAACATAGTTGAAAAGTGAATTAACCTTTTTTTGGTTACAAATTAAAATTAATCCCCCTTTTCTAAGAGGCTTAGAAATTCTGAATATAATACACCACATTCTCTTAACTCTGTAGAGGAACATGAAAGAAAAGGAAGGAAATCCCCAGGTGCCAAAACAAAGCAGCTAGAAGCCAGTGAAGAAACAAAGTGAAGTCCCACTGCCCTGAGGACATTTGGCCAATTTAGTAACTAGTAGTAACTAGATCCTGGCAGGGGAAACCGCCATTCCTGGAACAGAAGACATGTCACAGCCAGCACAACATGGGGAGTGTATTCCCAGAAAATCTTGCCCCCACAAAGGGCTACACTCTCATAAAAGTGCAGACGAGGAAAAAGCCCTTTAGAGAAACAAAGAAAGGTGTAAGTTTCAGTCTTGACTGTTAGGAATCAAATGTTTCCTAAATTCAGAAAGTTTTGAGATTCAAATACATACAACCTTCATGTTCCAGAAAACACCACTTTGAGGCTGTACCAGGCTGATGGTGCCATGGATACCTTGCAGAAGCAAGTGCTCAAACCCAAGTTCAGAAGCAACACTACACAGATGAGGTCATGTGATCCATGTCCATGGTGCCGTTCTATAGTGTAACCACTGTCTGTTTAATGAAGGAGACTGGATCAATTGGAAAAATAAGAAATCTTGGTCTCCTACATCCCTCATTCTCAAAATCAAGTATGGCAGAATGAAAACAGTGAAACTTGGCAACTACAGACTGTGGGCCAAACTTGACCTGCTTCTGTTTCTATAAAATCACGTTTTATTGCAGCAAAGTCACCCCCATTCATGCACACTTTGTTTGTGACCCCTTTCATGCTATAATGGTAAAGTCAAGCAGTCACAACGGAGACATATATGGCTCCTGTATGCGTGTGTGTGCCCAGTCACTTCGGTCACGTCTGACTTTTCGGGACCTTTGGACTATAGCTCCCAGACTCCTCCATCTATAGGTTTCTCGAGGCAAGAATACTGGAGCGGGTTGCCAAGCCCTCCTCCAGGGGATCTTCCCAACCCAGAGGTTGAACCCACATCTCTTATGTCTCCTGCATTGGCATGCAGGTTCTTTACCTACCGAGGCAGCTGGGAAGCCCCATATAGGGCCCACAAAGCCTAAATATCTATTATTTGGCCCTTTACAGAAAACTTTTGCTGACTTCTATAAAATAACATGGGAATCCCTGATGACTCAGGGAAATCCCATGGACAGAGGAGCCTGGTGGGCTACAGTCCATGGGGTTGCAAGAGTTGGACACAACTTCAGCAACTAAACCACCACTGTAAAATAACATGGAAGAATATTTGTATGATTTGGAGATAGGTAGACTCCCAAAAGTACTAATGAAGAAGGAAATGACTGATAAATTGGACTACACTAAAATTATGAACTTCTGATTATCAAAATATGACATTAAAATGATGAAAATGCAAGCCACAGAGAGAAAATATTCACAATGCATGTTTTCAAAAAAGGACTATGTCCACAATGTACAAAGAACTCTTCTTACACATCAATAATAAGGGGCAAAAGACTTGAATAGTCTTTTCACAAAACGGAACATTCAAATGACCAATAAACATGAAATTCCACTAGTCAGTAGGGAAATGCAACTTGAAAACACAATTAACTGGTACTACACACTTACTAGAATGACCAAAATTAAACTTTTTTAAATATAATAATGTCAAGTGAAAAACAGAATCTTTCATATACTGCTGATGGGAATAAAAATGGTGTCTTTACTGTGGGGAAAATGTAAGGGTTTATAAAAGTTAAACATATATAAACTCTATCACCCAGAAATTTCACCCTTAGTTATAGTCCCAACAAAAGGCTTGTTTTCCAAATTACATACAAAAGAATGTTCATGAAACTTTACTCAGAATATCCAAAAACTAAAAACAAACTAAGAGTCTGTGAATAACACAATGGATGAACTGTGTTATTCATACAGTTAAATACCACACAGCAATCAAAAAAACAAATTCTTGATACATGCATCATGGATGGATATGTATGCATCAGTCTGCCAAGGCCACCACAGCCAAGTACTATAGGCTAGGTGGCTCAAACAACAAAAGTTTATTTTCCTATAGTTCTGGAGGCTAGACATCCAAGATCAAGGTATCCACAGGTTTGGTTTCTTCTGAAGCCATTCTCCTTGACCACCTCACTCACTGTGTCCTTGCATGGTCAGCCCTCTGTATTCAATCTTATAAGGATTCCAGTCATATTGGATTAGGGATCACCCATATGACTTCATTTTATCTTAACTGTGTTTTTTTTTAAGATCCTGAGGTGCTAGGGTTAGGACTTCAACCTATGAGTCTGAGGTGGGGCATAATTCAGCCCATAATTATATACATACAAATAAAAGTGAAAGAGTGAAACAAGCCAGACAGACAAAAAAGTGTGTATTGTATGATTCCAAAAACAAATGTACATGGCAATAAAAGCTAGGACAATTGTGGTTATTCTCTAGGGTTAAGTAATTGGAGAAAACATGGAGTTTTCCGGGGTGCTGGTAATGTCCTCGTTCTTATCTGGGTGGTAGCTGTACAAGGGTGTTTATCTGTAAAGATTTATTTAGCCATATTGTCATGATTTATTTGCCTGCATCTGTCTTATAGGTTGTTTTTTTTAAAAAGTTTATTTAAAGTTTAAAACTTCAAACCAAAGCAACAAAAATGAGTACCAACTTTCAACATGTGTTCATAATAAAAACACAAGGAAGCAGATCACCACGAGCAAGTTTATAAGGAGCAAGCATTTGGCTGGACCAACGCTTTAAGGATTTGCATTACTGAAAGCAGATAATAAAATAAATAAGTTTAAAGGAATAATAGAGAAGAATAAAAACATAATCAAAGGAAAAAATTTTACTAAGCCCAAATAGACTGGAAAGTACTCAAATAGAACTCATAGAAATAAAAATACATAATCAATGAAATTAAAATTTTGATTTTAGGAGGAGTTAAAGATCAGTTTTGGAGAAGGAAATGGCAACCCACTCCAGTATTCTTGCCTGGAGAATCCCACGGAGAGAGGAGCCTGGTGGGCNCATGAGACAAGTGCTCGGGCCTGGTGCACTGGGAAGACCCAGAGGGATCGGGTGGAGAGGGAGGTGGGAGGGGGGACTGGGATGGGGAATACATGTAAATCCATGGCTAATTCATATCAATGTATAACAAAAACTACTGTAATGATGTAAAGTAATTAGCCTCCAACTAATAAAAATTAAAAAAAAAAAAAAGAAATAGTGACAGATATTGAACTGAAATTCTAGAATAAAAGCATATGTATCCCAATCTCTATATCGATTTATCTATAAATCTATTGATCATGGCTTATTTTCAAGAATTATAAAAGATAGAAATCTACAAACTAAAAACACATAATGAATGCCAAACAAGAAAACAACAACAAAATCAATTAATGAATTAATTCATTTAGAATGACTAAATGAATTTAACTTGCTAAATTAAATTAAACTGACCTTAAACCCTGCCCCCAAATAGTTAATCTGGGGGAAATTAAAGTGACAGTTTATTTGGTTTTCTTTCCTAGTTAATGATCATCTGGCTATTGATACCAAAATTCAAGAAACAAAAATTCTCTCTCAATCCTTCTTCAGCTACTCCATAGTATATAACATAGTTCCATTGAAATAATCTTATACAAACAAGTCTTCAAATGATTTTAAAGCTGCTTTGAAATTTTACCTATTTAAGGACCTAGAAAATATTTACCTTATGCTAAGAATATTCACCCAAATAACTTTTTATAGTTCATTTTCTGAAACAATCATTGCAGGCTGTGGAAGTGATTGATAAATGCCCTCTTAAGTTGATTCAGAATACATCAGTCTTTGCAAATAAAAAATCATCTTCAAAGAAACCTCTCAGATATTTACATTTTGACTGTCACCAGTATCCCTCCATGATAACTTTTGCCTGATCCCTGAAGTTAATAATGATTTATTATTATGTGTTCATGTGAAATATTACATTTTGAGTGATTTGGCAAAATTTCCTATTCTTTCAGCAAAAATAGATCCTCCAGTCATGAGTATAACCCAAGTTAATGGATCTTTGTTGGTAAATCTCCATGCTCCCAACTTACCATACAGAGACCAAAAAGGGGAAAATGTATCAATGGAATACTATGAGCTAGTATATCGAGTCTTCGTAATTAACAATTCACTGGAAAAGGTAAGTTCAGATAGATAAATTTGGTATTTTTTCTTTTAAGTAATTTTCTAGCCATGAAACAGGTCCTGTCTTTTGCTACTCTATCCCCTCTCATTTTTCCTTATCTTTTTTTAGTTCCTTCTCCCTTTCACCCTCTTTGATAAGCAAATGATGGTTACCATCACCATCAGAATTGTGTGCATGCTTGCACACACCTTTTTGATCTCTCAGTTGGTTTCCATTCGATCTTCCCTGTATATCTAAAGATTGATATTAACAATATTCAATTCCATTTGATGGTCACAAATATTCATTTTTATGGAATCTTTACACACCTTTCAAAGTGGCTTTTGGATCAGAGCACTCCATATTTGTGTCAATTTTGCTATGATATTACAATCTCCCATTGGTGCCTTTATTTTGGTCTGGTGGTTAACTGAATGTTCCCCTTTTTGGTATCCATCTAAGACAGGGTTCTTTTGGCTGTAAAAACAACAGAAACCCATTCAAACTGGTTCAAATAGGAAAGTGGAGGGGAGGAGGGTTTTTTACTAAAAGGTAAAGATCAATCTTAAGACAGCCGGAAGCAAGAAATAAAGTGCCGCCAGGCTTTATAACGACTGGGAGGGAAAACTAGAGAAGTAGGTCACAAGTCTACAGTTGTCTCCAAGTCCACTCCATTCTCCTCACTGCGCAGCTCAAATTCTTAAAAAGAGACTCTGACCACGGGGGCAGTCAGCGGACACCACTCGGGAAGGAGTCGCGAGGCGCCTGCGCAGCCACGTGACGTGTCCCTTCTGTCTGGGAACGAGGACTCGGGAGATGGGGGGTGTGTCTGGGAGGAAGCCCTACTGCCCACCACTACTGTGGTCATGAACAACTCAGTTTTATCAAAAATAGAGCAAGCCAATGACTTACTGAAAGCTGTTTATCATCTCATTTTCCCCCCTTGTGTGCAGGAGCAAAAGGTGTATGAAGGAGCTCACAGAGTTGTTGAAATTAAAGTTCTGTCGCCTCACACCGGTTACTGCGTAGTGGCTGAGATATACCAGCCCATGTTAGGCAGAAAAAGCCAGAGAAGCCGAGAGAGATGCGTGGAAAGTCCTTGAAGTGCTCGGCAGAGTGCAGTTCAAAGCTCTCTGAGGATGGGACGACTTGTTTTGAAGAATCTTATTGAAAGCCATTCTCATATTTTCTTTACTTTTTTAATTGAAGTATAGGTGATTTACAATGTTACAATGTTAGTTTTTTTATTTTCTTAACACAGTGTTCATCATTATACTTCAGGGACTTTATTTAATAGTTCTTTCTTCTTTTATATTTTATCTGTAAATTAAATTTAAGCAGCACCTCTCCCCACCCCACCCCCAAAATCATCAGAATTTAAAGAGTTCGAGAACAAAGGACTCTGTGAAATACAGAACTTTGTTTCTCTCTCTGACATCTCTAACATAATCTCCACTCTTCCAAGTCTGCTAAATAAAAACTAAAGAACCAAAGAGGTGTAGGCATTTTTAAAAAAAAATGTTGTTGAATAAATTTTTAAAAATAGTTTTACAAACAAGTGATCCAGATAAATCCTTTTTCAGTCTCTATTGACAGTTAACGTGACAGGTAATTCAACTTTCACATAAGTGGAATTTTTATGTGAAGAAGTATTTTCCCATATGTTTCTATTTTATATGAATATACTTCAAAGACATTCATTTTCCATTATATAACATTCCTACTTAATGAACTAATATTTTATTTTAAGTTCTACCCTATGTAAATAAGAAGTTTTAAAAACTTCTCACAATCTCTGGATTAATATCTAAATAGTTTATCAACAATAACATCTAAATACCAAAGAAAGCCTACTCAATACAACTTCCCTCATTTAGCACATACTCACATTAATATTCGGAGAAGGCAATGGCACCCCACTCCAGTACTCTTGCCTGGAAAATCCCATGGATGGGGGGGCCTGCTAGGTTGCAGTCCATGCGGTCGCTAGGAGTCAGACACGACTGAGCAACTTCACTTTCACTTTTAACTTTCATGCATTGGAGAAGGAAATGGCAACCGACTCCAGTGTTCTTGCCTGGAGAATCCTAGGGGCGGGGGAGCCTGGTGGGCTGCCGTCTATGGGGTCGCACAGGATCAGACACAACTGAAGTGACTTAGCAGCAGCAGCATATTAATATTTTTTTTCTGTTTTTGTTTCCATTTTTAATACTGCCTGAGAAGACTATATCCTTATTCTCAAAATCAGGTATAATAATTTTTAGCAACAAGTTAAAAAATAATGCCTAACTCTAATTTATACCACACTCATTACCCAGCCCTTCCAGTGAAGGGTCTCCTGCCAGTGGGATCTTCATTATCTCTGCATACAAGGATCTTCTGAATGACAGTTTGAATTGGGGACATAGGGGATGGTTGGGGACCAGGTAGAGAAGTTGGCTTGCAGCTGAACGCATAGCATTGGTGGGGGGTTTATTGGGGAAAGGAGCTGGTGTTGATAGAGATTGTAGGGCTATTAAAGCCCCCCAACAACCTTCTAACAGCTCCATGTCCCCAGTGAGTAAAGGTCTATGACCTTGGGCTCAAGTGGCCTTCCCCACTTTAGGCTCAGCTTTGCGTATGTGTTTAAGGTTGTCTTTCTTGTGAAACAACATGAATTGGAGAACCTTTATACAATTCCTCAAAAACATTGTTCAAAATGTGACAGAAGTATAGAGTTTCTGGTTTTACACAGTTACATGTATGCACGTATGCTCAGTTGTGTCCGACTCTGCAACCCTGCTGGACTGTAGCCTGCCAGGCTCCTCTCTCCATGGAATTTCCCAGGTAAGAATACTGGATTGGGTTGCCATTTCCTATTCCAGGGATCTTCCCGACCCAGGGATCAATTACAATTCCTCAAAAACATTGTTCAAAATGTGACAGAAGTATAGAGTTTCTGGTTTTACACAGTTACATGTATGCACGTATGCTCAGTTGTGTCCAACTCTGCAACCCTGCTGGACTGTAGCCTGCCAGGCTCCTCTCTCCATGGAATTTCCCAGGTAAGAATACTGGATTGGGTTGCCATTTCCTACTCCAGAGATCTTCCCGACCCAGGGATCGAACCTGTGTCTCTTGAGTCTCCTACATTGGCAGGCAGAGTCTTTACCACTGAACCACCTAGACAATAATAAACATTAAAAAGTATTCAGAAATGCAAGGAGGGAGATAATAAGAGAGAAAGAGCTAGAGAATTAGCTTCACTGCTTTTCTATAAAGTTATAAAAAGTGAATTTGAGCATACATCTCAAAACAAAAGTTACTTTAATCTGTGTTTTTGAATTATGCTTTTTTGGGGGGGCTTACTGTCCTTTTGAGGGGTAATTAACAGCAATGGGGTGGGTTGGGAGTAAGGATTACACATGGCCAACAGCATTTAAGTTTTTGAAGTTCAATAGTCCTAACGTCTAGCTTTAAAAAGTTATGGTTGCCTCGTGAAAGTTATTAGGTAGAATCAAGTTTTGTTTCATGTTTGCTATACTTTGTTTTTGCTTTCATGCTTAGGCATATGACTTGGGCATTCTTAAGCAACTATAAAATACCTTGTAACAAAAGATAAGTGTCATATTCCTCATTGTATTAGGAATATATTGTCACACTATTTCAATCAATACATTTTTTATAATCTTGTCTCTGTATTAATTCCTTCACAGTTACGAAAAACACATCCATACACAAAAAGAAAGTAGGTAGTCTTAACATTGAACATTATGTACAAACTAACCTCATTTCTTTTGCTCAGTGCTCAATTGCTCAATCGTGTCTGACTCTTTGTGACCCCCTAGACTGTAGCCCTCCAGGCTCCTCTGTCCATGGAATTTTCCAGTTAAGAATACTGGAGTGAGTTGCCATTTCCTGCTCCAGGGGGATCTTCCTGACCCAGGGATTGAACCCACACCTCTTGTGTCTTCTGCACTGGCAGGCGGATTCTTTACCACTGAGCCACCTTCCTTTTAATTCCATGGCCCTTCCCAAGACACTCATTATGATGCCAACTTAGCAGAGTCAGAACTGCTATCCTCCTCCACCTGGAGTGGCCATTCTTTGCCCTGGAAGGAGGCATTACACCAACTCCTAGCATTCCCCAGTCTGGGGATCAAAGTAACAGCTCAGACACGCGTCACACAGTGGAGTCAGCACTTCCTTGTCCTCTTCCACACTCACGTCTTCTTTACACTGAGCACTCAAGCTTCCAGAAGAATCCTGATGCTGCTCTGCTGGCTGTTGACTGGGAGGAGCAATCAGGGGGCTCAGCATACTTAACCAGTCTCTGTTATGTTGGAGGGTCTCCTGTGGAGACATGGGTCAGCAGCGACTCATCCCGGGGACAGCGGCACCAGCAGCAACAGTCCTGGGAGGTGCCCCTGGGCACAAGCCCTCCCGGAGATAGCCAACAATCCCACCATAGAATCTGTAGACTCCAGGGCTCAATAAATCTATTTTTTTTAATTAATTTTTATTGGAGTATAGTTATTTACCAAGTTGTGTTAGTTTCTACTTATAGCAAAATGAGTCAACTATATATGTACATATATCCCTTTCAATAAATCTTTTAAATTTTTTGCTTTGTATTTTGAAATATCTATTATTTGGATTTTTGAAGGATAGACTTGTGAAGTCTGTCAGATGAAATCCTAATTAGACTTGTTAGACCCACACTAAGTCCCAGCCAGAAAGGAGCAAACGTTTTGAGCAGGACTTGAGGCATCATTGATCTTGAAAAATAAAAGTGAAAATGTTAGCTGCTCAGTCACACCCGACTCTTTGCAAACCCATGCACTGTAGCCCACCAGGCTCCTCTGTCCATGGAATTCTCCAGGCAAGAATATTGGAGTGGGTTGCCATTTCCTTCTCCAGGGGATCTTTCCAACCCAGGGTCGAATCCCAGTCTCCTGCATTGGAGGCAGATTCTTTATCATCTGAGCTGCTAGGGAAGCTCATCACTGATCTCGCCCTATGATCAAATGGCAATTCTACACTTACAGGCTCTCAGGCCAAAAACTCTGGGGCCATCTTTGCTTCCCCCATTTCAGTCACATCCCATATTCAATCTGTCAGGAAATTCTCTTGGATCTAAACTCCAAAATACAACATTTCTCACAACTACCTTATTCCAGGCCAACATCCTTTCTCATCTGGATGATTTCTAGAACCACCTGGCTAATCTTCCTCTTTGCTTTTGTCTGGTCTCAGCAGGGTAGCTGGGTGATCTTCTGAACATAAATCAGGTCATATCACTCTTCTAATCCTCCAGTGCTTCCCCATCTCATAAAGGTAAAAAAAAAAAAAACCCAAAGTTCTTCTCATGGCCCCCTAGACCCCGGATGATCTAATTCCTTTGCTCATAATCTCTCAGACTTCATTTCCTGATTTCGGCTATTCTCACACTGCTCCAGCACACTGACCCCACTGCCTGGCCCTCGAATGAAAATGCTCTGGCCCCGGGGCCAGCTGCTTCCTGGAGAGCTGTGCTAGAAATCCATAGGCTCATGCCCTCACCCCCAGCAAGTATTTACTGGAAGTTTGCATGACCAGTCAGGTTTCCCTGACCATCAATCTAAAGTTGCAAACTGCCCATTATCATTCTCTCTACTCCTCATTTCCCCCCACAGCCTTTAAACCACTTGATGCTCTGTATTTTACTTATTCATCTTGTTCGTTGCTTGTCTTCCCCTCCTCCACTAGGGCTGTGGTTTGGCTTGGTTTGGTTCCCACGGCCGTCTCTTCATTCCCTAGAACAGAAGCAATGCACAGCAGATGCTCCATTTATATTTGTCGATAATTTAATGAGACAAGAGTAGAACCACTGAGATCATGGGAGAAGTGGTAAGGAGGACAGGAGGGGTTGGTTTTCTTATCCTTTTGTACAAGCTGCCTATCCTCCTCCATAAGTTAGTGTGAGAGAGCCAGCCACTCTTTACAAAGTTGCAATGATGGGGATAAGCAGAGAACAGTTTGTGGGCAGATCTGAGCAGAGAGTTCTCCTGGAGTCATTGTTTCTTCTTCCAACTGAGTGTCATTTCCTAGGCATTGTTTGTTCTGCTTGGATAGTGGTCAAGGCCAGAAGT